CGAGATGGTCTTCTTCTCGAGATTAGGTCTATTGGGCTTCTATTCGAGGTTTTAAGGTATTAGATAGATCAATAGATCAATAATCCAAATGCAATACCTTGTAAGTAAGTAAATTTTACAATTTTACTGCTGAGGATTTGGGAGCTTATACACATCATCAACAAATTAATGTAAAGTTGGCCATATCTGCATTGTGGGAAAACGAACATTGTCAACATGAATGTATGTAAGTCTTTTTGCAATAAGTAATATTTCAGACTGACTATAGCACGCAAACATATGTTTGATCAATTTTCCCATTTTTTTTTTTTAGATTAATGTATTATAAAAATATTTTTTTTTAAAATCCTGTTTAATTCTTTCAGAATGTTTTTCATTGTGTTTTCATTATCGGTTTAAAGAGAATTCAATCTGGTATCGGTACAAAATGCTGAAAATGTTCGCAACTCAGCGCCAAACATTCAGCCGTTGACGAAGTCTGGACTCTCAGCACCCCCTATTTTAATATCCTGTATATGCCACTGCCTAAAGCCTTGGTATTCGACATTTTTAGATTATTATGATGCTATATTCCAGCTTGTCTACTAAATTGGCGATCCGACCTCTGCTTATCTGAAAATAGTTTTATTTCGATTTAAAAAGTCAAGTGGGTAGGTAAGGACTAAGAAAACAAGTCGTGTAAGATGAGGAACATATTACTAATTGAATGATTATTTAAATAGATAAAATCATCGGATTTCTTGACATAGACAGGCCCATATTTAAGTAACGTCACTATTTATATATACCGTAAAACCTCGAATCAAGTTTTTTGTCCCTTTAGACGTGCTTCTTTTTGAGATGGGCTTCATTTCTAGATGTGTTCTTATCGAGATTACTTTTGCAAACTAAAGAGGGAGCTTTTTTTCAAAAGGCTATAAATCAGTGGCGTATCCACGACTTTTAAAGTGAGTGCTGAAAGAGAGTCCAGGCCACGTGAACGCCCCAATCTTCGGCGCTTAGGTGCCTACATTTTCAGCATTTTGCAAGGACATCAGAGTAAATTCTCTTTAAAACGATAATGTAAAAATTAAAAACATAAGAATTAGAAAGGATTTTTTAAATAATTATAATACATTCATCTATACAATCTTATTAAAACAAGACTTACACCAATTCATATTGGCAATGTTTGTTTTGCCACAACTACGTAGATCAACATTAATATTTGTTGAATGATGTGTACAAGATCCTAACTGTTCAGTAAGCCTGTAGGCCTACAGTTTACTTATTTACAAGCTATTGCATTTGGAGATATTCACCTAATTGACCTATCTAATACTTAAAACGTCGAATAGAAGCCCATTGGGCTTATAATCTCGTGAAGATGCCCATCTCGAAAAGAATCCCCCTATTTAGTTTACAAAGGTAATATCATCGAAAAGAAGGCCATCTCTTTTAATCAAGCGATAGTTTGCGTGCTTTTATTCAATATAGTACTTACATTTAGACAAACGTTATATTTGATGATTATGATATCGTGTCAATATCAATTGTATTGAACTAGTTTGGTTAGGCCTACAATTTGAAAACATAAACAGAATTTCGATTTCTTATGAAAAATGTCGTATAGCAGCAATTTCCAATATTTACAGTGGTGTATCCAAGGAAGTGCTTGGATGCCTATGCATCCCCCTTCAGAGGTTGAATAAATTTAAGCATCAAAGTGCCATCTTCAACTTTTCGCAAATGAGTCCCAACCCTGGTGGGGCTCAGGTGCATATCATCAGTTGCGTAACTCCTATGCGCTTTCGTGCGAAGGTCTGCGGAGTCTCCTATCCACTTACATCCCCATGTTACAATTTGGAATCCTGAATAAGTGACGTAGCGTCTATAACGCTGCTAACACGAACCGTTATTCTAACTCATTCATTGCGAGGGGCATTTACCTATTTAATAGTAGATATGTAAGATAGTTATTATTTATTCCTGCTTAATTTACTGAAAGAGCGATGTAATTTCCAAGGATTTGGATTAATAAAGTGATGTCTATGTCTATGTCTATGTCTATGAGCTAGCACCCTGACCCCAGAAAGCGTTGTTGATACAGAACACCATAATGTGTATTTGACATCGACTGTTAGAATATCATATCCAGTGACGAACTGATCTTTTAAATATAAAAGAAAATTATATTCAAATTTTTTGGACTATTTAACAATAACATTTATTCAAATATTCTATAAATTGTTAAGTGAATTATTGCACACCTTAATTGTGTGCTTACATCCCCATGTTACAATTTGGAATCCTGAATAAGTGACGTAGCGTCTATAACATTGTTGATAAGGTTTTAGTGCAGTGCATATTCATGCAAACTTGTTTTATACATGGTGTATCTGACTACGTGGGGTGTATCTGACTGGTTGTAACAATAGAATTGTTATATTTTGGGAGGATCGAATCAGTTGTTTAATAGTGTCTCGATGATACGTAACATTCAGTGGCCGATTCAAGAGCGGCCAAGCCGCCCCTACCCCTCCCACTCCTATTATTTTTCTCAAAATATAATAGAAAATAGAGAAAGAAAATTATTAATTTGAAAATCTGAGAAAGCAATTACCGGCAATCTAGAGGTGCAATAACCATACATATTCTTGACTCAACCTCAACCATGGAAGGGCTCAGGTGGTACAGACTCTCCATCTGTGAAGTCCCTCCCTGGGCCCCTTCTGTTTAAAATTGCCGGATCCGACAATGATATCATATCATTTAGGGTATTTCGTCGTTGAGAAACATTTAGAATACAATGGCAAACATAATTACAAAATAAACTCATCTAAAGTCCCACTATTGATTGGCGAGCGATCGGGACCCAAACAGGACCCCCAGTCTCAGAATCCACAGGACTTCGGCCCCAGCGTTACGTCACTGGATATGGTAGTTTTTGTAATTGTCTTACCTCAGCCTTAAACACTGTGGGCTGAGGTGGATGATAGTTTTCATTAATATTATAACCAAGTGCCGTTTTCAGGCATTTATAAAGTCTCAAATAATTACAATTTACTCATCTGCACCCCAAAACCATAGTGGGGCTCAGGTGGATATGGTAGATTTTGTAATTGTAATTATTATTCAAGTACTATTTTCGGGCATCTATGTTTCAAATTCTTAAAATTTTCTCACCTGAGACCTAACCATGGTAGGGCTATGGTGGATATGGTAGTTTTTGTAATTTGTAATTTTTTAGTTTTTTAATTTTTTTTTCTAATCAATTTGTCAAAAAAGGAAAAAATTAAAAGATAATTAAAGTTTCGGGTGTCAGCGCCAACCATCATGGTGGCGCTGACGTGGTGTGGACCCTCACTTTCATCAGCCCCCACCTAACTTAAATCCTGGATACACCGTCAACAAAAACTTTTTGTAAGTCTTATTTTATTATGTAATAGTTTAGACTGTCTAGTACGCCACATGGTTGATCGATATGAAACATTTTTTAACCATCAATCTTTCCAATTTGTTTTTACAGATGAATTTTTTTAAACAATTAAAAACTATCCTTTTTAATTCTCATGTTTTTCGTTTGTTTTTACTTGTTACTTGTTTAGAGAGAATTCATTCTGGTATCGAGCTTTGTTGACACGCCGTTAACCTTCTGTACTTCGTTGATTTGTCTTATAATTTGTGTCGAATGTTTTTTTTTTCTCGATTCTATAATAAATAAATACATTTCTCACCTGAGACCTAGCCATGGTAGGGCTATGGTGGAAATGGTAGATTTTATAATTTATAATTTTTTAGTTTTTTAATTTTTTTTTTAATCAATTTGTCAAAATGGAAAGAATTAACTGACCACGTGAGCGCCAACCATCATGGTGGCGCTGACGTGGTGTGGACCCTCTCTTTCATCAGCCCCCATCTAACTTAAATCCTGGATACACCGTCAACAAAAACTTTTTGTAAGTCTTATTTTATTATGTAATAGTTTAGACTGTCTAGTACGCCACATGGTTGATCGATATGAAACATTTTTTAACCATCAATCTTTCCAATTTGTTTTTACAGATGAATTTTTTTAAACAATTAAAAACTATCCTTTTTAATTCTCATGTTTTTCGTTTGTTTTTACTTGTTACTTGTTTAGAGAGAATTCATTCTGGTATCAAAGCTTTGTTGACACGCCGTTAACCTTCTGTACTTCGTTGATTTGTCTTATAATTTGTGTCGAATGTTTTTTTTTTCTCGATTCTATAATAAATAAATACATTCAAATTTCCTGCTGATCGCACAAGAATATTAAGAACCAAAACTTTTTCATCGTAATTAAACAGCTATTGAAATGTAAGGATTGGTAATCAATTGAAAGGAAAAAATAAGCATAGGCCTGTAACTGTTTGGTACGGTTGTATGAAAGTGCAGATGGACAATAATAGATGCACACATTAAATATAATGTTTTAGCAAGAAAGAGTTTTACCATGAATTAAAATATGTAAAAGTAGAGCAAACAATTAAGTTTAATGGTATGACACTAACACTGAACCTTGCGACTATGAGATGGCCCAATATCATTCTCAAGTGATGGCTAAGTAATAATAATAATAATAATAATAATAATAATAATACTTTATAATAAAATAGTATATCACTACATCTCCCACTCCTTGTGTAAAAAATTTAAGTTAATGGTGTGAAAATACTAACATCCAATAGACATTGCGCCTATGAGAACTTCAAATATCATTCTCAAGGCTAAATAAAATAATAATTATAACAATAATATAATAATAATAATAATAATAATAATAATAATAATAATAATAATAATAATAATATAATAATAATAATAATAATAATAATAATAATAATAATAATAATAATAACAATAATAATAACAATAATAGTAATAACAACAATAACAAAAATATCAATAATAATATCATAAATGCTCGAATAAGCGCAGCACCAAACATAATAATAATAATAATAATACATGTAAATGAAACGAAAATTACACGCATCTTGTAGTTGCAAATTACATTTATTACTTCTCTTTCTCATGGAAACAGTACATATTATGTATAGTACCGTATATTATGTTTTCCACATGGATGGCATAAAGAGTAGAAAAATAGATTTTTTAGTACTGAAAGACTTGACTATTCTACAATACATCAACTTCAATAGCCAAAATAAATGTAATATTTGTAATAATAAGTATTTCATCTGACCTACTGATATCTTGGACAAAGTAGATTTGGATTAGATCAAAACAAATCTGTTTGTTTTATACAACCTGATGGCTTGATATAATATATACTTTTAATAAGAGTAATACTGTTCGTACTGTACAAGTTAAATATACAGTACAGTACTATGCACAAAATAATATTTCAATAATATGAAACATGATCGCCTTTGGGTAAGATTTAAGTTCTTTTGGGCATATTATTTTGTTTTATTGTAAATTTCTTTTGACCTCATCTGTTATTAACTAAACAATCAGGGTTTCTACTTTGTCCTAGAGTTTCTAAGTGCAAAGCTAACTCTCCATTTGAAGGCCGAACCGAGACCAACCCAATTGTTCAGGTCCCAAAAAGGGTGTTCTCGAACTGTAATTAAAATAACCTAAACCTTTTCCATACTACACTGTATCTCTTAAATTCTATTTATTTTCAAAATTTTCAGTCACGCATAAGTGATTCCATTCTAGTGTCGTGTTGTCGTGTAAATCGTAGGCCTAAGCTTCCTACTAAAGTAAACACCAACTTCTTTTGATTTTGTTTGTAATTTTAACATTCCCAATCACCATAGCTACTGAACAGATTTACAAATTGTCAAAAAATATTTTTTTTTACAATTTAATTATTTGTAGCATCGGATTAGTCAAACTTTAATGTCAAAAACAATGACTTTAATCACATCTTGTTAAAAAGGCAAGTTTCCCTCTTGAATTAGTTAACCACACTCCCCACTTCTCTGCTACACATGCCAAGATCAATGCATTTCGTAGCAAACAAAACTACAGATGCCCTTCTCTATTACACATAGCAAGATCAATATGTTTTGTAGCACCAAACTTTAGTATAGCTATAATAGTATAGTAGTAATAATAAGGCCATGTAAAAAATTCTTGGTCATTATTTCACGAATTTTAAGTCCTGAGTGAGTATTCCTTTTGTTAAATCTTCCCTGTTTAAAAGAATTCTATATTCGCTCCTGCACCAAGCTATACTTCCAATATAATTGGGGGATAATACTGGTAGGAAAAAAATGATACAATTATTTTTTTTACATGGTTAAACTTAAACAATTATTATAATTACTGCCTAATAACTGGATAACAGCTGCCTAGCTTGTTTCCAAGGTGATGAACTGTGATCTGAATGTCATAATCATCGACCTCTACATCAAACGTGTCCTTATCTGCTGCCAGGAAAAACAGAGTATACAAAGCTATCTCAAACTCGGGGCTTGTACCGATAAAGGAGCTTCCAAGTGGCTTTATACCGCCCTTCCATGTGAATTGAATAGTGACCAGGTGTGAGGAATTATCAGCACGTGGTGGTCCTCTCTGAAAGAAAAATAAATGAGCAAAATACTATACATGTAATAGGCCAGGGAGTGGGTGGGGGGGACTTTTTTAACATCCTTGAACACGGTGCTTAGGAGAACACAAATTCACAAGATAATGTTCCAACTTATAGCCTGTAGTTTTGAATAAAAATCACAATACATTTCCAAGTTGGAATAAATCCTCTCCAGGAAATCCGGTAAAATGAATTTTCTTTCATGTTCAATTTTTTTGCTGCGCATGTCATTACCCATCAGCATTGACTTCCATGAAAAAGTTGATAATGAAATAGTAAAAAAATTCAAATATTAATAATTTATTTTTCAGGAGATTCTTGCTTATTCCAGTTTTTGTAAAATGTAATGTTTTGAGACAGATAATAAATGAAATGAAAATATTTCCTAATACAATAAGTGTAAATTTATAGAGGAGAGGAAACTGGAGAAAATAAACCCATCCAAAGAAGAGTAATTTTTGCAACTACAATTGGAGAAAATTACCCCTTTCCAAGAAGGGGTAATTTTTTCCAGTTACCTCTCTTTGAAAGCTATGATTGTCCCACCTTGATTTTTGGGGGAATCCATCCTTTGTAGTCAACATTTCCTTTCTTTTCTTCCAGGTAAAATTTGATCCAATTGTGAAATCCTGTTACCTGGTTTGTTTCACGTTTATTTTCACCAACAAATACGTGTTCAAACCCAGACGAATCAAAATCCCTTTGAAGAGAAATAAACAGTTTATTGATAAATAGAAAAAATCTGTTATTATTTCAAGATATTTTAAGAAATACAACATCAGAGATAAGTTGAAAAATCTGTTTTTTTAGAAGGGACTTTAGGAACCAAAAGGGGTCACAATGCTTTTGCAAAAACTAAGAGGGGAAGCTAGCTGAAAGAAAATGTGAAATTTAGTGATTTTTAAATTATTACTTTTTTGCTCAGCAAATTTCCAGTAGAAGGGGACTGGGGGTGCTTTTTTAGTAAAAGGTGTGTACTGTATGACAAAAACTAATGATATTGTTACTTTACCTATCGCCACGTGTTCATCTGTATAACTTGAACCATATGTCGTAAAGTTGATGTTTAAATCCTCTAACATCCTTTGGTGATAATTTTTTGTCTGCTAAGTATTTGTGGACTAGCTTCATAACCTACAAAGACAATAACAAGTTTTTTTATTAAATGAAAGTTATAGGTGAGAAGCGAGTTCAAGAGCAATGTCTGAAGAAGACTTATTCCTAGTGGGTTCCTTCTGGTGGTAATTGGGCAGTACACCGGGAGACAATCCAATACTCTTTTCCAAAGAGTGCACTAGGGGCATAATGCACACTGGAGCAGAGACTTAAACGTCTCATCCGAAAGACAGTGCGCTATCGTAACTTGCACTTCAGCCCTCCAGCTAAGTTGATTTCTGATGATGTTTGCATGTATTTTACTTTTGTATTACCAATTTTCATCTGGTCATACGTATCCCAACTGTGCACAGAAAAAATTACTGAGATCAACTCCCTGCTGAGACTTATTAAATTATTCCAATTTTAAACAACATTTTAAATTTGCTTTAGGCTATTTATTATTTATTAATCACTCAAGTTTTTATGGTTTGCAGAATGAAAACTTGTAAGCCCTTACTGTAATTTTAATTTGTAACTATTCTATATTTTACTAATCATTTTAAAGGCTATTTTTAATAATGTTTTAAGTATTGCCTTAGCCTCTGTGCTGTTTTGTAATTAGAGGATCCCACATCTCGTGTTGGGCCTTCAGCCCATGGTTTCTTTCTGGCTATTTTTTGATTTGAGATTTTTTTCCCAAATATATAATAAATAAAAACAAAAAAACAAAACATTACACTGCTGAGGAGCTATAGTGTTCTGTCAATGATTTTTGAACATTGATTTTATGCTGTAGTCCTAACCTTTGTTTCCATAATTGCATCTATGAATACTTGGTTTTCTTTAATTTCTTCCTGGGTAACCTCCTCTGCAATACCCGTCTCGCTCTCGTAATTGTCCAGCAATGCTATAAAACCTATAGATTGGAAATATCAATGAAACAATTTAGTCCAAAACAAAAAATAAATTGAATAATAATAATAATAACAATAACAATAACAATAATAATAATAATTAAAATAATAATTTCTCAAAATCGGACTTAAGAGCAGCATCTTAAATTGTGTTATTTTCCACTTTAAACGTCATGTTATTTTCCACTTAACATCATTATTTTAATTGTTCTCTAATTTCTCCATTGTCTAAGTTCCCCTTAAGGTAGGTTTTAGTAACATAATAATAATAACAATAATAATAATAATAATAATAATAATAATAATAATAATAATAATAATAATAATAATAAACAACTTATATATCATGCAGAAGTACATGTTAACAAGTAAAGGGTGATAAAATTTGAACCTAGCAATGAATATTATCCAACGGGCGGGGCTTAGCGCATTGGTCCATTAAATAAGACACAGTCAACAACAATTATTGCTATACCTGTAGCTACAGTCATACCATGAAATAAGTTTACTTACGCTTGTATGTGGGCATGGAATTTAATTTTTCCATATTAACGTAAGAGAACAGTGGATCCTTCGCACTATCTCGTTTGCCCATGTTGTGAAAAAACGTCTTTCCCTGAAGATGAATGGAGTAATCCACGCCAGGAGTGAGGCGGTTTTCATCAGCATTCCATAATTTTGTAGAAATGTCTGAAAATTCCTTATCTGGTTTAAAACTAAACAGTAAATACAATTTATTAACATTTAATAAAATAATAACTCACAAAGTTTACTTTTTTTCATCATGATGTCTTTTACTGTACTTTATATTGAATGCTAATGGAAATAAATATTGAGTATAGAAATATTAAGTATTGAGTACTTTTACTTCTCAGCTGACGTGGTATCGCCAACATGATGGATTTCTATATTATGATGGGATTTGTGTTTGTGGGGTGAATAAAGTACAGGGTAATTATTTTCTATTTATTTTGTTACCTAAAGCAGAAAAAATAAAATTGGTATACAATTTCAAGTCATTAAATAAAATAAAGGATTGCTTGCGCCACGAACACACATTTCCCCAGGCCCAGTGAGATTGGTTTGGGCGTGGCATATGAAAACCACTCATACCGAGTCATTTCATTCATCAGAGCAGCAGAGACGGACACTCCTCCATCCATGCAGAGTAGCTACACTGCTTCTAGCCTAGGCTTAGCTAGTTTCTTTCACCTAGGGTTAGCCTAGTCGTCTTTCTTTTCAGAGTACGGTTACGTACATTTTGTGAACACAGACACACAAATCAGATCAAAGTACTTACGCCATGGTAGGCTAGGCCTAAACTGCTTGTTGCTCAAGTTTAGAGAGGCAAAGACACCACTTTGAGACTAATGAATGAGCGACGTGGTAGGTTTTGTCTTGTTAAGCCAAACCAAAACAGATCTAATTCTTCTAATAACCGTCAACTGGCCAGCTGCGTCAACTCACGTCAACCATGGAGGTACGGTACTTAACACACGTTGGTAGTTTAATTTTTTCATCTCTTCGTAAGTCCAAATTAATTTAAAAAAAAAAAAATATGTTGGCAACGCCCGACCGACCCAAAATGAACAAAATTAAGGTTCGGCATTTTAATTTATTTTCGACTACAGCTAAAGAAGCCGGAATTAAAGACTACCTTTAATTCAATTCAATTCAATCTTTATTGGTCCAAACATCTTTGTTTATAGGCTAATAAAAAAGGTTCGGGAATTTAATATAAAATACCTAATATGTATATAAAATTAGAAACACAATTCAATTTACAAATCCAATAGAAAAGTTAAATTAATTAAAGGTAAAAAACCCAATCCAATATAGGCCTATACAATTCAAATAAGAAAGTTAAATTAATTATTACTGGTTATTACTGTACAATTTAATTAATAGGCCCCTAATTAGATTTGATATTACCCAGGTATTCTTTCTGTGGTAGCAAAATAGACCTACACTCCGTCGGGGAATAAAAGAACGTCACCTTCATTGACCTATGTGTGACCGTTTGTGTTAACTTTTCATCACAATAATAACAGAAACAACAACAACAACAACAATAATAATAATAATAATAATAATAATAATAATAATAATAATAATAATAATAATAATAATATAAATAACATAAATTCACGTGCCGTTTTATTGTAAGTTATCCGACTACCGTTGTATATTACTTTTCACATTGAATTAACTTGAAGCCCATGAAACAACATTCTCACAATGAATTAATTACGTTCAAATATCTACCGGTACTGTATTGGAACGTAGGCCTAAGTCAGCAGAAAAGTATCAGGTATCAAAACAGCGTTTTGACATTTAAAAAAAAAAATATCAGTGCATATTAATGTTATTTATTTAAATTTAAAAAAATACAAATGCCCCTTCTCCAGTCTTCCCCAGTTTGAAAAATTCTGGATGGTTTAAGTTCTACTATGACAAATGCTCGTTTGGATATTCTCATGATGCTGGAACATCTTGATATCGGGGAGCAACCTTGTGGTTTACAGATTCCAGGCAAAATTCCAAAATTTATAACTTCACTTTGTATTAAAAGCTTGTAGGCCTACTGCGACGTTCCCGGTGAAATTGTGTTTTCTTAATTCATCGTAGTATAATAATTGTCACAAATTGGTGGCCTTACAATACAGTAAGACATTATTCTTATTCGTAATTTTGTTGTTAATAATTCACAATCACATATGGATTATGAAAAACCTGGATTTCGACATGATGGGAGGATAGTAGCCTATTTTAATGTAATACGGTGGTTTTTTTTATTTTTAATAATATAAAATGTGGATGGATTTGAAAATAAGTCAGTTGGTTACATTTCATACTCTTTGTTTCTCGTTGTTTTAATTAAAAAAATAAAAAAAATAAAAAAAAAAAAATCGGTTTTGGAATTTTGACATTAAAAAAACATACCGGTAGACCTACATGAAGTCATTACGGTAGCTTGATGCCTATAATAACTAATAAAATTTACCAAAATTCGTACGTCAAATATCCATAGCCCCCGGCCCCCCG